TAATGGTGCCACCAGGCCCATTTTTAAGTGCTGGGTACAGAATTGGCTTTATTTCTTTTCCTTTTTTAAACATATTTTTATTTATTTCAGAAAAGAAGGGAGAGGAAGAAAGAGCTAGAAACATCATTGATAAGAGAGAATCATTGATCAGCTGCCTCCTACACTCGGGCTCGAGCCCACAACCTGGGCATGTGCCCTGACTGGGAACCGAACCGTCCTGCTGGTTCATAGGTCGACGTTCAACCACTGAGCCATGCTGGCCAGGCAGACTGGCCGTATTTCTTCAATAATCTTTCACTGGCTCCTAATGAGTGCTCTGAGTGGTGGTGTGTGAACCAGGTTGAAAGACGGACTTGTTCCCCAGCTCCTGGAGAAACCTTGCTGAGATCCATACCACGGATCTCGTGGCCTCCGGGAGCCATCCGCACACTGCCCAGAGATAATTGTAAGGAATAGCCACTACCGAGAGACCATCAGGTATTTTTCGCGCTAGAGAGGATTCACTCAGTCCAGCACCCTTCCCAGCTTTGTAAGGGCATGAGAGCCATCAAACACCTGCTATCTGTGTTATCCAGAGTGATTGAGCATCTACATATGAACCGGGAGGTCACGGCATATGCACAGGTTGCTGGCTCTGTCCCTGGTGGGGGGCGTGCAGGAGGCAGCCATCAATGATTCTCTCTCATCATTGATGTTTCTATCTCTCCCTCTCCCTTCCTCTCTGAAATAAATAAAAATATATCTAAAATAAAAGGGAAAATTACTTTCCTATTATACTATACAATTGCATTTAATGTTTGGGTATGTTCTATTGGGAAAAATGACAGCTTGAGCATTGTCCTTTAAAATATAAGAATGAGCACCAGCTGCAGGTAGGGCTAACTTAGGATACCAGCTCTGCTTCATTCCCTCAGGGAAGACATCTTCCTTTTGTTCGGATGAAACAAAATTCTGTGCGTACACAGATAAATTGTGTACACACAGAGGTGTGTGTACATTACACAGAGGACTGCACAGAGTAGTCAAGGGTAAAATGGGGATTTTCTTCCGTTCTGTTAATGAATTGGTGGAGAACTCTGATTTTTCTTCCCTCAGGTTTTATGCTGCTGAAATCATTCTTGGTCTGCAGTTCCTCCATTCCAAAGGCATTGTCTACAGGTAAATGTTACCCTTTCAGACACACTGAAACATCTGTATTTCGTGGTCCCGTTAATGTAGTCGATGCTCTTTCGTGCCGTGAAATGCACAGGGTGTTTTTGTGGCCAAAAGTTTCACACCCAGGCTTCCTGCCCTTGGTGATAACACGGGTGATGGTTTAATAGTAACCAAGTAAGCAATTCCAGTCTCCAAAGCAATAAGGGACTGACCTTTCTTTGCTCTTTATTCTGGTCCTTCCTCTTAATCTTCTTCTCACCTCATTTTTCTCCCTCCCTTCCTATACTCTGCTCATTCTCTTTGATACCTTGTTGCTTTCTCGCTCTGTCTCCTGCGCCTCCTGTCTTTGCCTGTGTTTGCTTTGGGCCACCTAGAACGCTCTCCTTTCGAGTGGGGAAGGTGGGGAGCTCTCCCCTGAACACTCAAGCACCCCTATGGGAACTGTAAGCCTACACCTTGTACAAGTGCACAGACCGCCACGTGTACCCTCTGTTGTGAATGGATGTCCTAAATTTCTCCATTACACGCCATCATTTCACATCCTTCTTGGATGAAAGCTACTGTACTTCAATCTCCTCACTTCTTTTCTCAAAACATAATTGACAGCATACAGTTGTCTGGTTTCTGACTCACTGCAGTTTAAAGGGGGAGTAAAAATTAAAAAGAAAGGAGCTATGCCCTAACCGGTGTGGCACAGTGGATAGAGCGTCGGCCTGTGGACTGAAGGGTCCCAGGTTTGATTCCAGTCAAGGGCATGTACCTTGGTTGCGGGCACATTCCCAGTAGGGAGTATGCAGGAGGCAGCTGATCAATGGTTCTCTCTCATCGATGTTTCTAACTCTCTATCCCTCTCCCCTCCTCTCTGTAAAAAATCAATAAAATATATTTTAAAAAATAAAATAAAAAGAAAGGAGCTAGATGGAGGCCGGCCAACCAGCTGGAGGCCAGCACAGCCACGCAGGGAGAAGGGGCAGTTGAGAAAAAGGGAAGACGCAAGACAACTAAAAGGACCCAGAAGAGTGGGTTCCTGGGCTCTTCTGAGGAAATGGCCCAGTCCTGACCCAGGGTTGTCTGTAAGGATTCGGGGAGGGCCCACACCGGCTGTTGACGGCAGCGGCTCTGTGTCACCCGGTTCAGACCTTCTCTCTCGGGAGTGGTCAGCACTGACTGCGGTGCTTAGAGGGAAGTCTCCCCACTTCAGAGGGTGCAGCCAGGCGAGGGCTGCCCTGGGTGGAGTGATGAGATCCCCCTCAGAGGGCAATTCTATTCTAACAACATTGTAATGACTGCAGCGAGGCCTTGCTATGCTTTTGTTTTTCAGGGATCTGAAGCTAGATAATATCCTGCTAGACAAAGATGGGCATATCAAGATCGCGGACTTCGGAATGTGCAAGGAGAACATGTTAGGAGATGCCAAGACGAACACTTTCTGCGGGACCCCTGACTACATCGCCCCGGAGGTAGGGATGTGCAGTGCCCCTTCCCAGCCCAGCACACCCAGCCGGCACCACTGCTTCCTCCTCCCTGAAAATTAGATTTTAAGTATTCTCGTTCAGGGTTGGAATTTGTGGGGGGATTTTGTTTTTGTTTTTGTTTTTGTTTTTTTGTTTTTGAGTATTGCATGATTAGGGCTGCATATGTTCTCAACCTGTGGGTCGCGACCCCTTTGGGGGTCAAACGACCCTTTCACAGGGGTCGCCTAAATACATCCTGCATATCAGATATTTACATTACAATTCATAAGAGTAGCAACATTACAGTTATGAAGTAGCAACGAAAATAATTTTATGATTGGGGGTCACCACAACATGAGGGACTGTGTTAAAGGGTCACGGCATTAGGAAGGTTGAGAACCACTGATATAGGGGCTGCTGTTATTATTGTATGAGGGATGGTACGCATGCTAATTACGTCGGCTCTCCAAGTCTTGAATGATGCAGCATATCCTTTCTGTCATGGCTCCTCCCCACCCCAGTATTACAATATCTTCACTCTGCTCAGACCCACCAGAGAAAAAACAACGGGGAAGAAGCAGGTGGACACTGAACAGGGTTATAAGTAAGCACCTGAGTAGTCCAGCGGGTCATTTTAGGAGCAGAAAAACCTACACTGTGGTTTCTAAGCTGCCGCGAGCATGGAGGAATTGCCGGAGTGCCCTGGTGTATCCCCCATTCTGGGATATGAGGACACAACGCTGGTGTCACATGTTATTGGAAAGTTTTTGGTTTGTTGTGTTGTTATTTTTTTATTTTTAAAGAAAGAGAGGACATCACAATCACATTCTGAGCCCCCAGAAGAATGGCATTTGCTCAGAAAGGATCCATCCACCCAACGCTCCCCTCCTCTGTCCTTGTTATGGAGTCGCCCCAGCTGCCAACCCAGGGCAATCAGACACCCCTTTCCCATGCAGCCCTTCCCTTTGCATCATACGTATCATCATTGCTTTTTTATCTTTGACTCTCCCTGTCCTATTGGATGCTGATTGCTCCAAGTCAGGGGCAGATTTTTGTTCCTTTTTTAATAACTTATTATTTTGAAATAATTATAGATTCACAAGAAGTTGCAAAAATAGTATAGAAACATCACCCATATACACCCGTCACCCAGTTTGCCCCAGTGGTTACATGGCATATACTTATGATACACTCAAAACCAGGACATTGAGATTGCTACAACATGTGCATAGTTCTGTTCCATTTTGTCACATATGTAGATTAGTGTGATCTTAAACATGCTTCTATCCAAAGACCACGTGCACAGCTTGGCACATAAGTTAATAATAAATAACCTTTTGGAAGAATGAATGAATAACCGTATTTATAAATAGGTGGTGATTGTTGTTTGATAGACAGTGATGGACCTCTGATTTCCTGGGTAAAACAAATTTAACAGCAAATCCCTGTTATTGCCAAAGGAAACTGTAGTCATCCTGACTCTACAAAACATGTGACTTTTCCCTGTGAGGATGTGGTATTTAATTTTGATTTAACCTTGTTTAAATATAAGATTGGCCTCTGGTCAACAAGAAATTAAAGCTTTTAACTTTCCTGTCTACAAATACTTTATGCTACATCCTCTCCCTGAATCCTTCTTTCCTCTTCATCTCCCAGAATTTGGCTTCAGTGACCTCTCTCTCTGTAACTTCAGTCTCCTCTCATCCTCACACATGCTTGTCTTCACCTGATTCCACTCTTGGTCCTCTTCTCTTCTTACTGTACGTTCTCCATGAGCAACTGTATTTATCAGGATGGTTTTAAAACACTAATGTCAGTATGGCCAGCCCAAACTACTCCTTCTTGTTTTGGACCTATACGTCCATGTTCTTGTTTGAGATCTTCAACTAACGCCACAGACCATTCAAACAAAACAGGTCCCAAACTCCTTCCTCTGTTGAACTTGCTCCACCCCTACCCAGCCTTCTCCTTTATCCCATTTTTGATGTTGTTTATCCTCACCCAAGGATATGTTTTCCATGATTTTTAGAGTGGAAGGGACAGGAGGGCGGGGGGGTAGAAATATCGATGTAAGAGAGACACATTTGGTTGCCTCATGCACACACTCTGATTGGGGCCAGGGATTGAACCTGCAACCCAGGTACATTCCCTTGACCAGGAGTTGAACCCAAGGCCCTGGGGTGCAAGGCCCGACGCTCTAACCACTGTGAAACACCAGCCAGGGCCTTTATCTCTTTGTTGGCAAATTGCACTATACACCTATCCATCCAGTCACCTAGCCAGGACACTAAGATTTATCCACGTTTTCTCCTTCTTTCTTACCCATCCCAAATCCAGACACTAAGATCTTCTAAACTGAGACCTCATGGGCCATTGAGCCTATTCTTCCCTCCCCAATTCTGTGACAGAATGAAGATCCCTAGATCCTTTCTCAGTCCCTTCGCTTCAATCCCCCATACTGCTCCTATTCCTTCCCATCCTTACTGTTGGTACCTCTCCAGGCCGTCGGCGCCTCCTGTCTGGACCCCAGTGATACCCTTTTGCCTGGCTTTTCTCTCCATCGCCATCCAACTGCCAGTGCTTCTTCTTTATATATTTCCAAGCTATTTTTTTAATCCTCACCCAAGGATATTTTTTAATGATTTTTAGAGAGAGTATAAGGGAGGAAGGGAGGCGGGGTAAGGTGAAGGGGAGAGCGAGAGAGAAACATCGATGTGAGAGAGACACATCGATTGGTTGCCTCCTGCATGTACTCCAATCTGGATTGAGTCTGCAACTGAGATATGTATTTTTATTATTATTATTAGTTAAGGTATTACAAATGTGTCCTCATCCCCTCCATTAACCCCCAACCCCGCACCCCACTTATATTCTCATCCTCCTGTTGTCCATGTCCATTGGTTTAGCTTATATGCATGCACACAAGTTGATCTCTTCCCCTTACCCCCGCCCTCCCCTACTTTCCTTCTGGGGATTGATAGCCTGATCGCTGTTTCTCAGACTTTGGATCTGTCCCTTTTCATCAGTCTATGTTGTTCTCTATAATCCGCAAATGAGTGAGATCATGTGGTATTTATGAGATATGTATTTTTGACAGGAATCAAACCCAGGACCCTTCAGTCCACAGGCCAACACTCTACCCACTGAGCTAAACTGGCCAGGGCTATATTTTCAAACTTTTTGACCTGTTCCCTCATCTGTTAAAAATGCATCCTCATTATATGTATACTTATTACATGTGAATCTCATACATTTTTGCCAATATTCTCTGTGTGTTTTAAAACATGCATAAAATGGAATATAATCAGGTTGAACTGAGGATGAAATAGTTTTAAATAACTAAATTTTATTAGCTATTAACAGTACAAACATGTTTATGCATTAAAATATTGGGATTAAATAACAAAAGACCACGCTTCAGATCATAGTTTTCAACACATGTGACCTCCCTCAGTCCAATCACTTCTCTTCTTGGGGATAACAGGACCTACCTCAGAGGTTCTTATAAATAAAATAAAACACATTCTATAAGGAAAACCCTAACACAGATCAGCAAGCGTTTGCAGACATTCTGTTTCAACAGTATGTAAATTGAATATGAATCTACATTTTTCTTCCTCCTAACTTAAGACTGAAATTCTTTATTAACATCACCTAGCCTTAAATGCCTTAATTTCCACCACAGCTGTCTCCTGTCCTCCAAATTTCTTTTCATTTTTCCTGCCAAATGAAGTTGTTTACAGAGATGTGATGTTCAAGCAGTTTCTGGTTGCTTGGGGCTCCGCCTTGTGGCACATCCCAGGAATTGCGTGTGAACCCGTCCTCACTGAAAGCAAACTACTGAACTGATTGTGCACATCTTTACTTACTTTATCATTCTCCCTGAGTGTATTTTTAAACTGCTCCTTAAAGCAAAGTTTATTTTTAAAGTTAACTTTAAAATTTAGGCCCAGCCAGCGTGGCTCAGTGGTTGAGCATCGACCTATGAACCAGCAGGTCACGATTCGATTTCCATGCCAGGGTTGTGGGCTAGATCCCCAGTGTGGGGCGTACAGGAGGCAGCTGCTCATAATTCTCTCTCATCATTGATGTTTCTATCTCTCTCTCCCTCTCTCTTCCTCTCTGAAATCAATAAAAATATTTTTT